ACACGAAGAGGGACGTCCACTTTCCCCCTCGTTTCCTGCACTACCTTTCCAGGATCCTCACGCGGAGGCGACAAGAAGTATGCAACCATTCCTGGGACCGCCGTCCCTACCCCGCCCTCCGCCCCGCCCTCCCATCTCTCCACCTCCACCAAGACCTCGCTCCCATTCTGAACACTGCGCATCACGTCGTACGCCCGGCCCCTGTACAAGGCTTCTCTCCCCTTCTTCTTCCCCGTCCCATGTCCGTTCAGCCAGTGGGGAGAGAGGGGCGTGAAGTCCGGCCATAGGTCCAGCAACCGGCACGAACGGTCCGTGGGGGAAAAGACGTACACTTCCTCGTGCCCCCGCCAGAGTTCCACCAGGGTTTTCTCTTTCCTCTCCACGGCCCCTGTGCTTCCAGGACTTTCCTCATAGAAATTGTACTCCAAGCGTTGACGTTGTAGTGGCCAATGGTAGTGCCAAGTGCCTTTGTAGGAGAAGGGGAAAGGCGGCAGCCTTCCTACTGGGCTTGGGTCCTGTTGGAAAAATGTGAAGAGAAAAGGAGGAGGGAAAATGCAGGATATATCAATGTGATCCAGTAGGATATCGCCGTTTGGATGAGGAAAGTAAGGGAAACGAATGAGAGCACGATTATGAAAGAGGAAGCGAAGTGATGAGTGAATGTGGGGCGCGACGCCTGAGTAAAAATGACAAAAACAAGCACGAAAAGAAACACCACGATAAACGCCCCCTTTAATCGTACCGTAGCTAAATACGCCACGGAAAAGGTTGGGCCCCATGAAGGTGGTGTTGGTATCGTGCTATCTCGGGTATTCCTAGCCCGGGCCACATACAGGAAAAACAGGCACAGCAGGAAGAAAGGAGTGTGCTGTTGTCGCGTTGTCCCCACCATTATCCGCGAATGCACTGTCTGAAAACGAAATAAACGAGATGTCATGTGATCCGACACGTGAGGTATTGTTAAAATAAAAATAAAACACGGCTTTGTGGAGGGGAAAAAAAAAAAAAAA